TTTTAAAGACAGCCTTGCTTTGTCACCCAGGCTGGAGTACAGTGGCGTGATCTCGGCTCACTGCAGCCTTCATCTCCCAGGTTCAAGTGATTCTCCTGTCTCAGCCTCCCAAGTAGACTACAGGCACATGCCACCATGATTGGCTAATACTTTGTATTTTTAGTAGAGACAAGGTTTCACCATGTGGGCCAGACTGGTCTTGAACTCCCTATCTCAGGTGATCCACCAGCCTCAGCTTCCCCAAGTGCTGGGATTACAGGTGTGAGTCACTGCGCCCAGGCTAAATAGAGATTTTCCTTTATTTCCATGCTTGGAGCACAGGGTGGGAGGTGCCCAGCAGGCCCCTCAGAGGGGTCCTGCTCTGTCTCAGTTGGATAAGGCCCACATATGTGTTTCATTCAGCCTTAGTAAAACTCAAATTAGTTGACAATGTTTAGAAATTGAGAAATTTTGGAAAGCTTGGAATTATATACACTCTGAAAAAGATCGGAATAGACCCACATTTTTGGGTGGCAGAAAACTCATTGAGAAAGAAAACAGCTGTCCCTTAATATCAGGTGTAGACACTGACATGATACAATCCTCAACTTGTTCGGATATTTCACTTGTTTCTGTTAACTCTGTTGGAATTTCAATATGCAAACTTGTATTTCAATATGCAAGATTGTATTATCTCTGAGGTACCTTTCAACACTACATATCTATGAATTATGGGTAAATGTGTTTGACCTGTCTACTTAGACTTAATGTTCTTGAAAGGCAGTGTCTGGTGCTTCTCCTTTGCTTGTCCAGGTTACAGTGCTGGTCATAAAGCAGGTGCTTAGTATTTGTTTGTTGAACATTACATTTAGTTATATCTACAAATACACAATAAAAACCAAATACCACCTAGTAAACATGTATTACAGATGCCTGGTTGGCTTTTATAAAGAAAACATCCTATCAAAATGGAATTAAAATGCTAACAGTATTTGTATCATGTGGAAAATCTAACTCTAGACAGATATCAACCAAATGAAGTTTAGGCAACAGAAAAAAATGTAGTCCTTTAGTCCCCTTTCTCTGTGTGTAATTCCCATTAATTGTTCATTGTAGTTATATATGTGTATTTCAAGAGCAGAATGTAATCTAGGGATGGAAAAAATACTGCTATTTGTTCTCCCAAGTAGTGATCATATGTTCAACAGCTGGGACTTACCAAGATCTGCATTTATTTCAATACTAATAACTACCTTTGCTGTATTCCCAGAAAACCACAAAATATTTGGCATGGTTCAGGACCACCATATCTAATAAAAAAAAAATCTCATTGTTCTTTTGCAATAATTCATTAACTTATAAGGGGAACATATTTCACTGAGATAGTTTACCTGGATTAACAGCAATAGCTAAAAGATTTCACACCCAAGTTTGGTTGTGTCTGGAGCACCAAAGTGAATGGAAGTCTCGAGTCCATGACTGAAGGCAGTCTTACCACCAGTGTTGCCAAAGCCTGTAGTCTGAACACTTTCTTCTCTGTCTTTCTATTTTCTATTAAAAGGAGCACTCAGAAATTACAGAAGTATTTCATCTGAGAAAAAAAAATGCATTTCTCAGAAACTCTGTCAAGTAAAAAAGGACATAGCTGATACCAGAATAAATCTCTTATGAAGTTTGGATAACTAAGATTTGAAAAACATTTTGAAATTTACTCTTATTTAGAACACTATGTTTTAAAGAATTAAAAAGACAAGCTACTTAGAAATTTTAACATTTATGATGAAACTTAATTTGGACTTTTTAATCTCTAATTTTTTTATTCTTTCTGCAGGGATTGAACTGAAGTGTACTTTTATGCTATCTGTGAAAATAATTGCTTAATAAGTAAATAAACATTTTAAGTAATTGTTGAAAATAAACATTTACTTATCAGAGAAAACAATTTCAGTTTTATTTATAAATCACTCTATTCAAAATGGAGATGTATTAGGGTTCCCTAGAGGGACAGAACTAATAGGATAGATAGATAGATATAAAGGGAAGTCTATCAAGTATTAACTGACACAATCACAAGTTCTCTAGTAGGTTTGTCTGCATGTTTGAGGAGCAAAGAGGGCCAGTCCCAGTCTCAAAACTGAAGAACATGGGAGTCTGATGTTTGAGGGCAGAAAGCATCCAACATAGAAGAAAGATGTAGGCTGGAAGGCTAGACAGTCTCACCTTTTCAGTATTTCTGCCTGCTTTATAATCAGTGGCTGCTGATTAGATGGTGCTCACCAGATTAAGGGTGGTTCTGCCTTCCCCACCCCACTGACTCAAATGTTAATCTCCTTTGGCAACACCCTCACAGACATACCCAGGATCAATACTTTGCATCCTTCAATCCAATCAAGTTGATACTCAGTATTAACCATCACGAAAGCAAGATCAGTCTTTTTAGATATGCTAATCATTTTTATCTGTTTACAAAATCTGGGCCTGAACTGCCAGAACTGGTTAGTCATTTTCTGGTACTGTATGTCCTTGAAACTAATAAAACTGCATTTTCTTTCTTTTTTTTTAATTGCATTTTAGGTTTTGGAGTACATGTGAAGAACATGCAAGATTGTTGCATAGGTACACATATAGCAGTGTGATTTGCTGCCATCCTCCCCATCACCTACATCTGGCATTTCTCCCCATGCTCTCTCTCCCCAACTCCCCACCCCCCACTATCCCTCCCCTATTTCCCCCCAACAGACCCCAGTGTGTGATGCTCCCCTCCCTGTGTCCATGTGTTCTCACTGTTCAACACCAGCCTATGAGTGAGAACATGCGGTGTTTGATTTTCTGTTCTTGTTTCACTTTGCTGAGAATGGTGGTTTCCAGGTTCATCCTTGTTCCTACAAAGGACACAAACTCATCATTTTTGATGGCTGCATAATATTCCATGGTGTATATGTGCCACATTTTCCCTATCCAGTCTATCGTCGATGGGCATTTGGGTTGGTTCCAGGTCTTTGCTATTGTAAACAGTGCTGCAATGAACATTCGTGTGCATGTGTCCTTATAGTAGAACGATTTGTAATCCTTTGGATATATACCCAGTAATGGGATTGCTGGGTCAAATGGAATTTCTATTCCTAGGTCCTTGAGGAATCGCCACACTGTCTTCCACAATGGTTGAACTAATTTACACTCCCACCAACAGTGCAAAAGTGTTCCTATTTCTCCACATCCTCTCCAGCATCTGTTGTCTACAGATTTTTTAATGATCACCATTCTAACTGGCGTGAGATGGTATCTCAATGTTGTTTTGATTTGCATTTCTCTAATGACCCATGATGATGAACATTTTTTCATATGTTTGTTGACCTCATGTATGTCTTCTTTTGTAAAGTGTCTGTTCATATCCTTCCCCCACATTTGAATGGGCTTGTTAGTTTTTTCTTGTAAATCTGTTTTAGTTCTTTGTAAATTCTGGATATCAGCCCTTTGTTAGATGAGTAGACTGCAAAATTTTTTCCCATTCTGTTGGTTGCCGATTCACTCTAATGACTGTTTCTTTTGCTCTGCAGAAGCTGTGGAGTTCGATTAGGTCCCATTTGTCTATTTTGGCTTTTGTTGTCAATGCCTTTGGTGTTTTGATCATGAACTCCTTGCCTATGCCTATGTCCTGAATGGTTTTGCCTAGATTTTTTTCTAGGGTTTTTACGGTGTTAGGTCTTATGTTTAAGTCTTGAATCCATCTGGAGTTAATTTTAGTGTAAGGTGTCAGGAAGGGGTCCAGTTTCTGTTTTCTGCACGTGGCTAGCCAGTTTTCCCAACAGCATTTATTTAACAGGGAATCCTTTCCTCTTTGCTTGTTTTTATTCAAATACGAAACTAGGAAGTCAAATTGTCTCTATTTGCAGACAACATGATTGTATATCTAGAAGACCCCATCATCTCAGCCCAAAATCTCCTGAAACTGATAAGCAACTTCAGCAAAGTCTCAGGATACAAAATCAATGTGCAAAAATCACAAGCATTCCTATACACCAATAACAGACCTAAAGAGAGCCAAATCAAGAACGAACTGCCATTCACAATTGCTACAAAGAGAATAAAATACCTAGGAATACAACTAACAAAGAGCGTAAAGACCTCTTCAAGGAGAACCACAAACCACTGCTCAACGAAATAAGAGAGGACACAAACAGATGGAGAAACATTCCATGTTCATGGTTCGGAAGAATCAATATCGTGAAAATGACCATACTGCCCAAAGTAATTTACAGATTCAATGCTATCTCCATCAAGCTACCAATGACCTTCTTCACAGAACTGGAAAAAACCACCTTAAACTTCATATGGAACCAAAGGAGAGCACACATAGCCAAGTCAATTCTAAGTAAAACTGCATTTTCTTTCATGTAGTTGGTCCAAATCAGTGACTTTTTCTATATGTATTTATTTTGGGAGTTTGAATCATTTTCATCTTCCATTGATTTTCAAACTACTGCAAATTACACAGTTTACATGTTAAAGAGATCAAGTTATGTAGAAGAAGAAATCTTTCTGCAAGCTATGTGACCTTAACTTTGCTGAGCTTTAGTAAACTTGCTCATTTTTAAAATGGAGATGATAATACCTATTTCCTAGGAATGTAGAGGGGATAAATAGAGATAAGGCAAGCATTCTGCTAGTAAACAAGGTCCACATTATCACCATCATTCCCAATATGTTTTGAAGACTCTATGTAATGAAGCATGCATTTTCTAATTTATACTGCATTATTCTCATTTGCAGATGAAGACAAAGGTTTGGAGATTTAGGAAGCTTGCTCAAGATCATAATGTTGAGGAACCAGCCTCCTTAGTTGCTTCTGATTGTAAACTAGCTGTGAGAAGGGCACCACTCTGCTACAAAAGCAATCTTAGAAATTAACCAGCACAAAGATCATCCATGACTAGTGAGTACAATTCTGAGACTGGTTTTTATGTGTGCCTGTTGGGTCAGCCTCACTATTTTGAGGTTGTACCCTGGGCAGGGAACATGAGTCATTGCCTACCCATCCACTCCTCCACATTCTGACTGTCTCCGTTATGAATTAAGTCCTAAGAATTCTTATCTCATTACTCCCCATGGGGTTTCAGCAGCAGTTATCTCTGACTTTTATTTTCACCCTGCTAGTTAATTGCTTTCTTCAACTTTTCTATTCTACTATTCAATGGTAGCTCAGCAAGTCACTTTGCATCATTATAGAAGAGGAAAAAATTGTTTTTGGGTTGTGGATTGCTTTGCAGATGTTGCACTTTGCAATTCCTATCACGCCATGACTTGTAACCTGCTGGGAAGATGTAGCCCTAAGTGCAAAAGAAACTCCCCATAAAATGTTATTTTCCTAGGTTCCTTTCCCAACCACATGGAGCAGATAAATGGAAAGAGAGGCATGTTAGTAGTGGTGGTGATGATGGTAGTACAATTTTCCCTCAGTATCCACAGGGAACTGTTTCTAGGAACCACCTCCCCAACACCAAAATCTGCGATGCTCAAGTCCCTTATATAAAATAATATAGTGTTTGCATATAATCTACCCACATACTCCCATATACTTTAAATCATGTCTAGTTTATTTATAATACCTAATACAATGTAAATGTTATGTAAATAGCTGTTACGCTGTGTTTTTTTACTTGTATTATTGTATTGTTATTTTTATTTTTCAAATATTTTCCATCAGTCGTTGGTTGAAACCATGGATATGGCACTTGTGGATATGGCACACTGACTGTAATAGTAACAATTATGGTAGTAGTAATGCTAGTGATGGTGTTGGTAACGGTAGTGGTGAGTAGCAGTGGTGTTAAAGAAATTTTTTCCAATCAAGTGGAACCTCACAACAGTCTAGAGTATGATTTCATTCTAGTCTCTGACAATTTGGATTTATCTTATAAATGCTTCATAATTTATCAGGGTGCTATGAGGTTGTTAAAATTGAGGATTCCCAAGTAAACAGTATCTCTGTTTTCCTCAAGTTGTATATAGGTCTTCATATATTTTTTCTTTAAAATTTAAAACATCTACCATTCGGTCTAAAATAAATCCTTTAAATTAAGGCCAGGAGTAAAATGGAACCATGTCAAATGGATTCAGATAATTTCTCAATTTGGGGAAATTCCAGGTATGGTACCCCTGCCAATCAAAGTATAAATTCCCAAACAGACTATAAGTATGTTATGGAGGAAGACAATATTATGCTTGTCATGTTAAGTAACTGAAAAATTTAGAAGAAGACATATAGTTTCAAAAGCTACTTTACATTTGTGAGTTTCAAGATAACACAACTGCCCTGCCTAGTAGCGGAAGGTATTTTAAGTGTGCAGTATGTTCAGCCTTAGAAGAGGCAAACCATAGCACAGAGTAAGATAAGCCTTTGTAGGGTCTCAGAAAGCACTTACAGGATCTGTGAGTTAAACTTGGTTAGGGTGCAGAACAGAATTTCCTGGGCTCTTTTAAGGTATGGTCTGGTCTTGCAGTCTATACTCTCAGGCTCTCTGTTGTCTTCTTCCTTTATCAGTAAAATGGAAGAATGCAACTCTGGATCTCAACTCCTCTTTTCTCTCCTAAGGAGCCAGAGACTGCCTGAACTTCACACAATAAAACTCACAGATCCTTTTGGGAGGCTGAGGCAGGTGGATCACCTGAGGAGGAGTTTGAGACCAGCCTAACCAGCATGGTGAAACCCCGTCTCTACTAAAAAATACAAAAATTAGCCAGGAATGGTGGCAGGCACCTATAATCTCAGCTACTCGGGAGGCTGAGCCAGGAAAATCATTGGAACCAGGGAGGTGGAGGTTGTAGTGAGTCGAGATGGCACCACTGCACTCCAGCCTGGGCAGCAGAACAAGACTGTATATTAAAAAAAAAAAAAAAAAAAAAAAAAAAAAAAAAAAAAAAAAAAAAAAAACCCTTAGATCCTTTGCTCTAGGTGTGGTTAAAAGAACAAAATTATTATAATTGCTATGCATAACTTTAGTCACTGCATCACATCTTCCCCTACATGTGCACCCATGTGCATGTCTGTTTCCAAGAAAAGGTGACTGTAGGAATAAGAAAAGACTTCTACTGCAATGCTGAATGTTACTCTGTTTTCTTGGGCCATCTTAATAATCACCTACAAAGCTGCAATTTTGGCAATATGAGCTGGCAGCCTGACCTAACATCATTGTACCTTAGATCACTGAAGTGCCTCCTCACATGACAAAACCTGCTGCACTTTCTTCCTACTTTGTTGTGGCCTCCATCAACCTTGTCCACGTCTTTCAGTCACCTGAGTCTCTAGGTGCACTGTTCAGTATGGCAGCTGTGAGCCAATGTGGCCACCAAGTGTGAAGAAGGGAGCCTTGTGAATTGATTGTAAAATGCACACTATATTTCCAAGACTTAGCATGAAAAGAAGAATGTAAAATAACTCAGTAATCTTTGCTATTGTTTGCAGGTTGAAATGATAATATTTTGGATATAGTGATTTAAATAAACTATATTATTAAATTTAGTTTTACCTGTTTCTTTTTACTTTTTAAAGTGTGGCTACTGGAAAGTTTAAAATTGCAAATGTCATTTGCGTTTGGAGTTCACATTATATTTCTGTTCTGTACTGCTAGTCTAAATAGTTTGCAGTCCTTTGCACTGTTGTGATCTGTTTAAGAAAAATCATCCTTGGACAATAGTGTCTAAAAGTTTTTAATCTTTTAATATAGGTATCAAATAGTTTTAAATGGCATATCAACTAGATTCTGAATTTTAAACTTTCTTTTTTAAAAAAAGAATGAATATATGTGTCCAAAACAAAGCCAGTAGTACTGGAAATTCAAATCTGTTAAACCATAGCATAGCTAATGGGATAAGCTATAGCAATACTGGGACACATAATAAAAGCAATGGTTCTTAACCTTTTTAGTGTCACAGACCCATATTATTTTTGAACAAATATTTATTATGTACCTACTGTCTTCAAGACTGTGATAGGCTCTGTAAATACAGCTGAATAAATCTGAAACAAGTTTTAGATCCTCTCCCCACAAAAATGCATGTACACATATACTTACAGATTTGCACTTAATTTTAGGCTCCTGAGAATCTTCTGAGGCCCATTTAGGAATTCTAGATTGACAATTCCTAAATTTGATAAAAGAGCCTTGGCTTTATGGCCAGATGGATCTAGGTTTGAATGCGGCCCCACTAGCTACCAGAGTGACCTTAGACTGTTATTTATGTTCTTAAGGTCCCAATTTCCTCATCTATAAGATGAGGGATATGGAACATGGAGATAATGTAAGGATTAGCATTAACATATGGAAAGATCTTGCTTGTTCAGACTAGGTGCTTAATAGATTATAATGATTATTTCTCATATTGCTTTATGTCAGGAGGTAGCTCAAAAGGGTATGTTAGAGGACAGATTCTTTATATCTGAATTTTCTTTTGTGTGTCAAGGTTTTAAATTTCTGTAGTAACCCTAGAGATTAGTTGCTGAACAAAAATAGGTTTTGGTTCTTCAACCACATCATGACCTTTTAAATAAGATGTCCAAAAATGGTGTGTGAGTGGTCTGGTGTAAGAACGTCTCTGCCCACGCCATAATAGATATTATGTAGGGTGCACATATGTTTTTCTGTGGTTTGGAAACAAATTTGTGTCTGCAAATTTTAAAGATAGGTTTCTGGTTTTGGAGGGCTTTTTTTTTTT